TTTTCAGCGCTATTGAATTTTGTACAGAAATTGATCCTTTGATGGCATTTATGATCATTAAGCTTCAACTCTGATAATAATCATGCCAAATAGTTTTTTGTATGATATAAAGATTTGATTACTAAAAGAATAGTGAATTTCAATTACTTTATAGATAGAGTATTATAAGGGACCTTTCTCTTACATTAAGGAAACTCTTACTTCTCATAGGAAAAAAGCTTTTTTTGTATATCTTTAAATCAAGAGTAAATGGAATATTTGCACAGCAAAGTGTCATAAATCTGTCAATTGCAAATATACAAATGTACATAAAATTTGTTAAAGTGAATAAGCATTAATCAGTTTGTCAAACTTAGAGTGTGAAAAATAAAGTGTATTAAGCTGAATTTTCAGATGTAAAATATCGAAAGTAAGTTATCAGTACAAAGGTTTAATTCATTTGCATTGTACAAATGACTTTTATGTACATTAGCTTTTTGGTTTATGGGACAAGTTTATTTATTCAGGGGTTAATTTTACATGTATATAGTCATAATATTAGTGATTGAACAAAATTAACGACAAGGTCTGCTTTTATTCCTTGTACGAGTTTAAAACACTTTCTTGGATATTTGTTTCTTCTAAGTGTCCTTTATTCCCCTAGAATATCTCTGTCATCACCACTATTTCATAGATTTAAGATCTACAGTTACAGCTTCGAAACAAGATTGCATTTGAGAAAAATGCTATGCCACCGCATGGTTCAAATTTCATAGCTGTACATCAAAGGACAAGAAAGTAGGTCACATCATCAAAATCTAGGTCACTTGATATCAAAGTTCAATTTTACAACTAAAACTGTGCACATGGTCAAAATGTCGTTGCTGTACATCAAAGGACAAGGAAGTAGGTCACTGTCCCCTTGGGCAAGGCATAATTTTGACCCAAGGGTTTAATTCAAAACAATTTTGATACAGGTCCACCAAACAACATTTCAAGTCAAATATCTAAGCTATAGCTTTCTCCCATTCAGAAAACATTTGTTTTATTTTCTGTTTTTACTATGTGTACACAATGAGAATCACTGCCCCAGGGCAGGGCCAATTTTGACCCAGGGGAAAAATTTGAACAACTTTGGTAGAGGACCTATAAATGATATTATATATCAAACATCAAAGCTCTATGCCTTGTACCTTCAGACAAAAATATTTTTTATTTTTTCACTATATGTACATAATGAAAATCAATGACCCCCGGGGCGGAACCAATTTTGACCCCAGGGCTATAATTTGAACAATTTGCAAGAGGTTCACTACACAATGTTTCATGCAAAATATCTTAACTCTAGCCTTTGTAAATTTAGAAGATGATTTTTTAAGTTTTTACTATATACATATAAGGAAAACCTATGGCCCCCAGGGGGCGGGGCTAATTTTGACACAAGAGGCAAAATTTGAATAACTTTTGTAGAGTACCTTTAGATGATATTATTTAACAAATATTAAAGCTCTAAGCCTTCTACCTTCAGACAATAAGATTTTTTTATTTTTTACTATATGTATATATTGAAATCAATGACCCCCAGGGCGGGGCAATTTTGACCCCAGGGCTATAATTTGAACAATCTTGCTAGAGGTTTATTACACAATGTTTCATGCAAAATATCTAACCTCTAGCATTTGTCAATTGCTAGAAGAATTTTTTTTGAAGTTTTTACTATAAGTTTTTACTATATACATATAAGGAAAACCAATGACCCCCGGGGCGGGGCCGATTTTGACCCCAGGGCTATAATTTGAACAATCTGGGTAGAGGTCTACCAGACAATGCCTTATGCAAAATATCTAAGCTCTAGGCCTTTTGGGTCTTTACAAGAAGGTGTTTTAAGTTTTTACTATATGTACATATAGTGAAAATCAATGACCCCGGGCGGGGCCGATTTTGACCCAAGGGCTATAATTTGAACAATCTTGGTAAGGGTCTACAAGACGATGCCTTATGCAAAATATCCAAGCTCTAATCCTTTTGGGTTTTTACAAGAAGGTATTTTAAGATTTTACTATATGTACATAGTGAAAATCAATGACCCCGGGGCGGGGCCGATTTTGACCCAAGGGCTATAATTTGAACAATCTTGGTAAGGGTCTACAAGACGATGCCTTATGCAAAATATCCAAGTTCTAATCCTTTTGGGATTTTACAAGAAGGTATTTTAAGATTTTACTATATGTACATAATGAAAATCAATGACCCCCGGGGCGGGGCCAATTTTATCCCAAGGGCTATAATTTGAACAATCTTGTTAGAGGTCTACCAGACAATGCCTTATGCAAAATATCTAAGCTCTAGGCCTTTTGGGTCTTTACAAGAAGATTTTTTAAATTTATTCTTATAATTACTTTTGGTTGCCATGGCAACCAGATTTCTGCATGGAATGAAATTCTTTGAACAACTTTGGAAGCCCTTCACCCAAGGAACAATCCTGCCAAGTTTGGTTGAAATTGGACTAGTGGTTTTTCACAAGAAGATTTTTTAAGTTCACTATATAATCTATATAACACACACACAAACACACACACAAACACACACACAAACACACGCACACACACACACAGGTGAATCGCTATATGCCACCGCATCGCAGATGCTGCGGTGGCATAAAAAAGCGCCAACATTATTGTTGGCTAATCTATTGTGACGGGTAGAGCACCATGAAGCTATAACGGTAAAGTTTGGTTGTACTTGTACTTGGAAAAGCCAACATTTGCAGAGTTCCTGATAACATCAGACTCTATTGTTTCTATTATTATAAGGAGGTGATTGCTGTACAGAGGGTCACTTACACAAGAGGTTGAACTGTATTTACGAGTGTACATTAGAGTCTGTCACCTGTTTAAACAATAGAGTCTGAAATTTAGTCTGTGGCAGGTACTTTATCGAAGACCTAAATTTTTGGAAATTATAACTCCAGGACCAAAGTTTATTATGCAGATATATAATTATTTTCATTGTAAATAAGTTAAAGGCACATCATGCCTCAGAAACAAATAAATTTCTTAGAAAGGGCTAGCAAAGGTTTTATAATGTTAAATTGATGTTTTTAGATCATATTAGATGTTTGTAACATGAATAAACCGTGCTTAATTAAAAAAAAAATATTTGTGAAAAATGTAGCAAAATGTAAACAAAGTAGTTCAATTCAAAAATAAAATACTTAAAATCATTTTAGTATAATAGTACTAATTGCCAAAAAGCAACAGAAGAAAAAGACAGTTTAGGTAACTGGATTATGAGTAATTCTTTGAATACTACATACAAGTACACCAAAAAAAAAAGTTTTTGAGAAATAAAAAAAATACAAGCATTCCTGAAGCATATTATAGAATTTTAAGTTGCAGAAATTTAAATGACACATTTTTATAGTCATCCAGTATATACATGTATGATGTACATAGTATTACATGTACATTATCTCATGTTTGTTTATGTTAGTCAAACAATAATATTAACTGTTATACTTGAAGTGTGATTGTTTTATAATTGCATAAAAGATTATTGGTCAGGTTTCGGCCATTATAGGTCATTTGTAAATTGTATAGCCAGCGACATGTGGGACAATTGTCAAACATTGTCACAACTAATTACGGATGTTATATAGTGACATTTACGACCTTGATGAGAGAATAATTGACCCTTTATAACCCAGTTATACAGTAATTGAATGCTGGAGTCCGTGACTTAAATGGCAAATTGGTCAAACTGATAAAAGATTTTGAATGGTTAAGGTTGACAGTGTTGCATCTTGTTTTTTTAACCATGTTGAGATAGGATGGTGTGGCGTTAAACTATCAGAATGACTGGATTTTTTTCTCCCCTTATACAAAAAATATCTTGTCAAGATGAAATTTTGATTTGAATTTATCTACAGATTGTTGTAACAGTGATGAATATGCTCCACAGATAACATTGATTTCCCACCTCCACCCCCTTTATTTTACAACCTATTAATAAAGGCTGTTTCTCCTAGCCCAAAATAGGTATATTTTCCCCTAAAAATGCTATATTTCCCCCTGAAATGCCCTGTGCATTCTTCACCTGAGAACCATGACTTGTCTTAACAGCATGCTGACTTACCCTAAAATTCCTATTAAATGCCCCCAGGGGCTAAACATTTTTCAAAAGGGGGGCTATTATTAGAACAAATCCAAAAATCATTGTAGATACATTTAGTGTTAGCAAGTGTTGGTAATAACATTAAAAAGTGTTAAAATTTAAAAAAGTTCATACTGTGAAATAAAATGGATTCTGAATGATTTGAATGAAATTATGGATTTACTCATGAGTTCAGCACTGATGAGTAGATTGTTTTTCTTATCAAAAGGCCTGGGGGGCCTTTATTAGGGGAGGGGCGTTTATTAGGAATTTTACGGGGGTATATCAGCTAGTTGATAAATTTAATTTACTGAAAGACAGAAAGGTGTCCCTATAGACAGCGTCTGCTGTGTACCAGTTGTATGTTACATTGAAGTGAAATTGAAAATAAAAAAAAAATGTGGGTAAATTCTATTTTCAGTTATTGGAATTTGATTTTGATTTCAGGTTTTTTCCTGTTTCTGATTTATTGTGCTATATTTCACCTCCAGAAAGCCCTAGGTTGTTTTGAAAAATAAAATCACTGAAAATATATTTCTGCAGTACATATACATGTGTATTAGTATATCATTATCTGATTCAGTTGAAGTAAAGTACATTATCTAAATGTTGAAAGTCAAAATCATTGCTAATAATTATTAGGTCATTTCCCTAGATTATGATAGAAAATTATATACGTATTATTACTTATTCTGGAAGAACTAGAGGTCAATTCATTTAAAAATTGTTCTCTTTTAAGTAATTGTCCCCTTTTAATTTAAGAAATTACATGAAATTTTCAGTTCTGAAAAGAGGACCCGCTATTAAATCCCTTGAAAAAGATAAATAAAAATAAATAATAAATATCTTATGCCTTTAAATCATTTCAGATAAAGTATGCTTTGTTAGATGAAAGAGACATATCACTGGTGCAGGACTATGCTTTTGAGGTAATTAGTTATTTATTAGTTATTTACTTTATTTAATTAGATAACTATGATAAAGGTAGTGGACAAGTACATACTCTGACGGGATGAATGGATAATTAAACCTTAAATCTGTGGCGTCATAGCTGAATGGTTAACACATCGGGACAATAGTCTAAGGATCATTATCCGTGTGGGTTCAAACCCTGTCAGGGGTGAGCCTTTGTTTCTTTGAGCAAGAAACTTGACTCTCATTGTTCAGTACTGGTTCAGGTCCCAGGAATGGATTTGAGAGTATGTCTATAAGCTAATCCTAGAGTCTAAAGAAAATAAATTCTGTACAAACCAAACCTACTATAGATCTACCTATGTTATCACTGCTCATTGCGGTGCTCTAAATTAGATGCCGGTATTCAGTTTAAATGGTGATTGTTTATAAGATCTATGAATGATCGTTTGAATCTAAGAGCAGGCTCCAGGTCCAAAGTACACTTCCACCATAAAGATATGTTAAATAATAAATCTTCCACCCTTTTCACAAATGTTCAAATCTTTGTCAGAAAAAAAAAGCTTTAATAATGCATGAATCATCAAACTTACATGCATGTCTGTTTTGGTATTTAACATTATTTACTGCAGTAACTCCTTATGATTTGAGTTAATCCTTTTCTTCACTAAGATGACAATATGTTAGGTTCAAAGATTTTTAGCTCACCTGAGGACAATGTCATCAAGGAGAGCTTTTGTGATGGCGCATTGGTTAAAAGTTGAATACTCATATGACAAGTCCAGAAAAGTAAATATTATGGACTTAAATTTATATTTGAAATTTCAGGCACGGACCCAAATTGACCAGGATGGAACCGGGGCCAGAGTTTATGCTTACGCATATAAAATACATACAGGTAGACACACAGGGCAGCATTTACACGAGATAATATGGTATGCTACTTTTATCAATCACTTTTTAGTCCGCTTCCTGGAACTAACCAGTACTGGTGTCATATGAAAAAACATGGTTGTGACCCGATTAAAGCTCAAACCCATGATCCCTGGCCTGAGAGGTAGACACCTTTACCACTAGGCCACCACTACTCTTTTACTTGAACTTGTATTGGTAAATAATATATAAGATTGGTTGTAATTAAATGTCTTATTTGTTGTCAATTACCATAGATATGTAGGGTGACAGCAATTTATTTCAGTATGTTAAATCTCAGGCTAGAAATTTAATTAAATTGTGGCATTTTAATTTTGAATTATGTATTTGTTAATAAATCATGTCCAGACAAAATTTGTATATACCTTTAATTGATATGTTAAATCCGAATTTCAAGGTTAGTCTGCGAATTATGCAAAGCGGTTCACTTGAAGGGCGGTTTTAAATCTGCTCAGATGTAAAGGCTAATAAACGGAAATATTTGCATGCAAGTTTTACGGTACAAATATTTGCTGATTATTAAATTGCACGTGAAGTTAGAAGGTTGCATGACAAGTATTCAAATGATATTGCTGATCAATGTTGTGAATCATTTCAACCGTTTGATTTTGGCGAACAGTTTTAAGTTCGATAAATACTTGATAAATACTTAATAAATACTACATGATAAATATTTTTGTGAGATACCAGCTTGGATGAACACTATGAATTTTGATGAACATTTTTAATTTGACCCTCATTTAACATGAGATTGTACCACACTTTCCATTCAAATTATCCACTTCTGGAACTGTCCATTATCAATTTTAGGTATATCAAGATGAAAATTTGAATCCGTCTGCTGCTATCATGGCGTTCATGTATCTTTAATATATAACTTAACTGACTCAATTCTGATTAAGAAATTGTCAGTCTTTTGCAGAGATTATGGTTATAAGTTTGATATTTATATAGGAAAGCTGTCTAGTCAGATGGATTGTCAAATAATGAGCAAAATATGCATTGAAATCAGGGTAAAAAAGCAGAAAATCTAAGGTAAAAATAGTTTTACTAGTCAAATTTTGAATCGTTTTGATTATATTTCTATCTAGGGAGAGGCATAGTGGTGGAATCGCCCCAGGATGGAAAGTTATACACAAAAACAACATTACTGTTGACAATCGTTTAGAAAACCTGTGTTTAGTACCGGAACATTTTAAACAAGTGACTTGTCCGGAAGCGGAGCTGTCCAGTAAATACAGTAAAGATCAGAGCCTCTACTGGATAGCTGTACAGCAGTTGCACAATATAGATCCCTTACATCAGCATATACAAGAGTCAGTGTTTACACGGCTGTTGGATCGAGATGGTGACCCCGTCAGCGAAGAAGGTTTATAATTTACTTTGTTCTTATTTTTTAATCTTTTGATGGTGTGGTGAACAGTCCTGTTTCCTTTGAGGTAGAAATGCTCATAATTCTTCACCAAAAAATGTTTTTCAAACTAAACAGCTTGGCTTTTTGTTTCGACTCCCTTTTCCCAAATTTAGCAACTTTACAACTTCAAAATTGCCGAAATGGAATTAAAAATTGCCAAAATGACCATTATAGTGGAGATTGAACTTTGATCAATAGAATAGAGTATTATGTAGAAACATCTAGATATGTTTTTGTTTCATAGAATTATATAGCTGATCTAAAATAAATTACATGCCAGATTATTAAATATCAGTGTTGTGTACATGTATATTAAACTCAAATTTTGTTTTGGACCATTATAAGAAGCATGTCACCACTCAAGAAATGTATTGAAATTTGCCTAAAAACCAGATAATCAATTGAATTTTGTTACATGAATTGTATCTTATGGTTTTGTGTTTATACTTGACCTTCCATGATCTTCTAGATCATAGAATAAAAATACTATGTATAGATAAAAGCATTTAGATAAGTTAATATAGATATATTTCAACAACAGTACTTATAGAACTCCTTATGGTTGATTTTATCTGCAAGAAATTTTCTCTACTCAAGCGTCATGGTGTTTTTGTCAATTTTCAGTTGCAATATCCGAGTCTGGTTGTGTGCTATTTTACGAGTGCCATTACCCACCTTGTACCAACATGGAGAAACATGTCAGGGAGTACAGTATATGTGGTAGATGCCAAACTGTAAGGTAAGACTATCACTGTTTGGAATGTCCTCTTGTTTTTGGGTATATTTGTATGTTCGTCAAAGAATTAAGTCAGTCATGACAAACTGTAAGGTGCTTATTTTGGGGTTTCCTTGTAAGATGGTCAAAAAGAATTTAAAGTCATAGACAGGGTTTTCATTATTAACAGATTGGTGATCCATATTATCGGTTGGAGTGCTGTTTAAATTAGTTGTATTTTCAGTCTGAAGATTGAAATATCCTCCTTTACCCTTGGCCAAATTTATTGTTATTGTTGGCACATCTCTTGCCTCACATAAAAATGAAAACCCTGGTTATACATGACAAACTGTAAGGTAAAACTGGTACATGTACTATACTGATTCATGTTATAATAATACCCCAGTAAATTGTTACCTAGCTTCCCATCCAGGAGGACTGTTAGGAAATGATTCAAGATTTCTCCTTTAGTCTTTTTCCCCAACTTGCAGGGAATTTGGGGGTGGGTTTAATGACAGAGAATATGTCAAAGTTGAGTGCAAATTTCTATCACAAGGAAACAAAGGCTTGACCCTGACAGGGTTTGAACCCAGGTGGCCAGCAATCTTAAATTTATTAGTCCAATGTAGAAACCAAGTGGCTTTGTTACTGCTGTAGAAAGAGTTGACAATTGATTGTAAAGTAAAATTTTGTTATCAAAGTATCTAGTTTATAGCACAAAGATGTTATTGCCAAGGTAAAAGTTATCAAAAGAGAGACTGAAAAACAAAACAAGTTGAGCTCTGCTCTGACTATCACAGCAGGGGAGGTTAGGATCTGACAAATATTAACGAAAGTTAATCAGTCAACATGTATTGTCTCTCCAGCAGAGAATTTCAAAAATTGTTTTAAATAAAATAAACAGACAAGCCACACAAACACAAACATACAGTAAATTTGCATAAGTTTCGGCTATATGCCTTCATCAGTGCAAAACGTAATCAAATTCATTTCCATAAACAAATGTTTTTAAAATGTTTTAAGCTTTCTACTCAATCCTTATTATAAATATTAAATAGTTTAATACGTATGTTTTGAAGAATTGTATTGTACATAAACATGGGGGTGTCCATGGCCAAGTGGTTAAGGTTGTTGACTTCAAACGACTTGCCCCTCACGGCTGTTGGTTTGAATCCCGACAGGGACTTTAGATTCTTTCATGTGAGGAAGCTATAGAGATAGCTTACGGAACATCCCTGGTTCAACTAAGTTGCTTGTACGTGCCTAAAATATCATAATGCACCAAAGGGCACAGTCATGAGGTCTTTCTCCATCAGTAGAACTGGAACATGGCCATATGACCTATACTGTTTTGGTGTGAAGTAAAACCCAAACAAACAAAGTTTAGTACACATTGAGGAAATGAATATTGTTTAAATCAACAAACATTATAAATCTGCGAAGACATATTCTGTTATTTTAGAAATTCAGTTTCATATCTTGAATAGGTTTTGTTCTCAATATCCAAGTTTCAATTCATATTGACATATGTGTAAATTGTTATTGATTAAATATATGCATTATGTATTTATGTATTTGTGTATTGTAGATACTGTGGTGTCGGCTGCCAACAGAAGGACTGGCCTGTACACAAACAGTTATGCAGGGAGAGAATTCGACCTGAGATTATGGAATATCCTGACAGATAAGACAGAGTTACTCCCCTTTAGTACTCTTTGTGTTCATCATGCATTTAGCTTACACAGATCTTGTTATTTTACATCAAACATCTACTGACTCAGATTAGATAGGATCCAGTCATTTTTTTTCCATCACATATTTCATTAGTTTCACAAGTTTAACTTGCATTTTTTTATTCATTTACTTATTTTTGAATTGCTGATATTGTCATTTAGCAAATATAATTCATAAAAAAGATTTTTTGTCATATTGTGAATAATCAAAATTTAAATTCTCTGTTTGATGTAATGCTTTATGCATTTTTTTAAGCAATAAGAGTATAATTGAAAAGGCTTTAAAGATAAGAGTTACTTTAGTTTTATTTTACTTTAGACAAATATTTGTCTCGCGATTTTACTGCTTACCAATCAGATTTTTAAAAATATATTTTGAAGATACACATGTACATTGTAGATCAGTAAGTCATCAAATGTATTCTCAATAACTGATCCTATTTTCACGATGAATTTGGTTATTAAATAATTTTCCTCTTCTATAATGTATATATTATTGTTATTTTTTGTAACAAGTTAAGCAATACTTCTATATCGAGAAAGATTTTTCATTACAGATTCAATAATACGAGGGATGATCAAAAATTAACCGGACTGTGACTGGCAATTGAAGAATTTTTATACTATCACTTATTGTTATATATCACACTTAATCGGAAAACAATACCTGTAAACTGATACTATATCAAATCTGATAACGCAAATAGCTTGTCCGTAACAGCGAATTCAAAAACCATGGTTACGCACACCCGGCGCAGTGCGTAAATTCGCCTTGACATGAGGCGCTTTATGCTGCGTGTATTTTACAATATGGCACATTTAGATTTCAAAATACGCCAAAACGTCATGTACCATATCTTTGACGTTGTCAGTAAAAATGACTTCATTTAAATCATTTATATTTACAATCACAATTCAAACGTCACATGTTAATGAAATACTCGCGTTAAACTTATGTCGGCGGAATGTCTCGAAAATCGATCAATAGGAAAAATTTGTCAAATGTAAGACGAGAAACTGTTTAAAACGTAGAAAAAGATTATGGCTATCAAGGGAAAAGTTCCAGAAAGCCACAGCATATTTTTTGATTAGCTTAAAAGATTAAGAAAGGATCATAGAGAAATAGAAACAAGTAAGGGAGAGACAGAAAAAAGACATTTTCAAGGACGTTGGTGACGTCAATCGCCAAGACGTTGAAAAATGACAGTCGATTGACTGCGGACATTGTCAACGATGTTTGACAGTAACTACGGGACGGTGCAGTCAACTCTGAGGATCTTAAAATGATAATAGTTAATTCATTAACTACATGTATTGTATTCTTGGTTTACAATTGTATCAATTATTTTCTTATTTTACGCAGTAGTCTTATGGAGAAATTGTGTCAACAATTAGACAGTCACTGTTCAAATTGGCTATGCGTTTTATTTATTTTAAAATAATGACAATTTTGATCATAGTTGTATTATTCTGTTATTTTTTCGTATGTATGATACATTATCATTCAGCAAGATTATTTTACATTATTTTTAATACATAATATAGTTAATTGCATGTGCGGTTTTTTCAACAATCAAGTTACAGAAGGAAATAACGGAAGTTTGCGTCATTACAGGAGCTCTTTATCACCATTCAACCTATTAAATACAATATGATACCTACTTGTACAGAAATATATATAGGCAGTGGATCCGCCGCATAAATAACATGACTGTACCACATATTGGCCTACTCCGTGAATGAGTAAAAATCTGCTCCGTTAAGGACAATACGCTTGTGACGTCGTCAACGTCAATTTTAAAGTTTTACCGTGCGCCGCATTGCTTTACATGTGCATGCCAATAACAGCATAACTTTTGTCTTTGTTAATATTTCTTGTTGGTATTTTTGTATCATTTAGGGGATAGATTCCGATTTATTTTCCGTGTATGTTTATGTAAATTCATTTAACAGGTTAAGAATCATTTACAAAGTCCGGTTAATTTTTGATCATCCCTCGTACATTCAAGTATTTAAAAACTAAAAAAAAATAATTTAAAGGAACTCCACTGAGGTCTAAAAGCCTAAAAACATAACATTTGAATTTCTTACATAAATGAGGTGGGGCACTTTAAACAGAAATATATGCAAAGATAGTTAAGAAATATACTTTGAAATAAATTGAAAATCGTATTTGTATGCCCTTTTTAGCCCGATTTGAGTGAAAAGCGTTTAGACCCTTTTTAATTTTGGTAATTTTTTTACAATTTGAATAATTATTCTGGAAAAAACAAAGTGCGCGATTGATCTGAAATTTTGCACAAAGATTAGTGGTCTAAACCTACATCAAATGGTACATTTATCTGGAAAAATATTTTCAGTCCCATCATGTCAAAAAACCTCAGTGGAGCCCCTTTAATTATTCCATCAATACATTCAAGTCTTCAAAAGACACATGCATTTCTTGATAAACTCAATTATCTTGTTATGTTTGAATAATATATATTATTCATTTTTTTTTCGATGAATTGTTTTAAAATTTTGGAATAAATGAGCACACATATTCATCTGTAGAAACTATATTACGAGGGATCTGTCTCACTTTTATACATGTATGTTGTTTTGTACTCGGATTTTTGAATTAAAATCTCCTCTTTTGTCAACATTCCATATGATAAAAAAATCAAAAATATACTAGAATAATTTTTGGTGTGAATTTGATGCCCTTAAACTCAAAACTTTGTAGATCAACTTTTTTGTTGTTTAAATTAATAATATTTGATTGAAAAAATAAATTTTGAGGAATAAAGTTTTTAAATCTTGATTCGAAACAGTGCTTTTAGAATTGATTTTTGAGTCGAAAATTGCACAGTACTAATTTTAGGTTGGAAAAAAAATGTTGTTTTTCTTTAAATCTTGAAAAATATTGTTAAGACTTATTGTATTTTCTTATTCACATTTTAGCAATAATATGTACTATTTTGATTATGACAAAGAAATATGTAGATGTGTTTGGTAAATCAACTGTTTTGAAATCGTGTTTTGTTGGTTAAAACACTGCAAAGAATACCAAAGCTGTATTATGAGTATATCAAATGCATTCCATTGCTATCAATTTTGGTAGGTTTGTTACTGTCTAAAGTTTTGTTTTGATTTTGTTTTGATATTTTGTTTTGAATATATTTTTTGAAACTAAAAGAAAATTATGTTAAGTTTGGTCTCTGATTTAGAAATGAAACTAGTGTGACATACAATTTTTTATGAAGCCTGCAAATTTCAGTGATTTAAAAATGAGTTTCTTTATACTGTAGCATTCCAATGTGTCAGTTTTATAAGATGTTATGTATTTCTCATATTTGATTTATAACCAATATTTTATAATATGTAATATATACATGTATTAACTGCATGATATGTTTAAACATTCCAGTTCATGTTTTTAGATCTTTTTAAAGCCAGTCTCAAAATAGAGAAGGAAATATTTTACAATTTTACAGGATAAGTTATATATACATATATATTTGTATTAAAGTTACTGAATAATACCTCAATTCCGAGTGAAGGAAAGGTATTACACATGTATTTAGTTTTGTTTCAATTTAATTTGGTATTACTGCAAAATTATAATTATTTGTGGGGAACTAATTTTTGTGGTGTTTTCGTGGATAGGTAAATGCATGAATTTAGGATCAAACAAAATTTCATTTCATCTGCTGTAAGATTATTTTGTGTGCCTGTTTGTAGAAAAATAAACAGTCCACAAATTTTAAAACCCGCAAATATGTTCTTTGTGACAAAAACACGAAATTTGAAGCCCAAGAAAATAAAGTAGGTGAATTCATCTTCAATATTCCTTGCATAACAAACAAGTTTTCGTTTTATTTTTACAGAACAAAAGTCATGGTTTTATCTATTTAAGTAAGTGATAGACAATGAGTGATGAATATTATCTCTCTTTTAAAAACCAGTTATTTATAGAGTGGCACAAAATAAATGGGAGTATGGTTATCAAAATTTTTTAAATGGTTAATGTAAGAACACCTTCTAGAGTTGTCTAGCCTCACATATAGAGAATAACAGTATTTTGTAAAAAAAAAATTGAAACATTCCGATGAAATTGCATTTAACATTCCTCTGAATATTTTTGCGCCATTTTTTTTATAATCATTTTTTTTACAAGGAAAAACGTTTTGGGGCTGGATGGGTGTCTCCTCCCCCCTACCTTTTTGTTGGGACTTGATCATGTTTTAAAATTATTTGTTTAAAGGTTCTTTGCTACGCAAGCAATTAAGCATGCAAGTTACGTTTTTAGTTGTTTTTCTTTTTTCTTGTCATGTTACCATGATAGAGGTAAAGTCCCATATTTCTTTAGAGTGTATATAAATAGTTTTCATGTTTATTTGACACAAACTTTTATGTGCTAATGTTTCATATTTCATGTTCTTGAATTTACCTTTCGATTGTTTTGAAGTATAAATGTACAAACATTTGAATAAATAGATTGTAATGATTGTAATAGATTGCAATCTATGATCAATAAAGTCAGATGTAAAAATCATGTATGTAGATACTGTAAAGTAAGATATTATTTTCGCAAGGCTAAAATTTTGAGAAATCTACACTTCTGACTAATTGGTGGGGTTAAAAAAGTTCTAACTTTCTTCACTTAGTTCTGTTCAATTTATGTGATACTTAACAAAAATTTTCAATTTGCAAAGTTAGCAAAATTTAATCCCATGTGAAAATTTCTGATTTTACAGTAAATTATCAGAAATATGTAATTTCTAATGTTTTTTTTTTTAAGTATTAAATCATTCTGTTGGAATACTAGTAGTTGATTGTTCAATTACAATTTTTCATAATTGGTATTTTTGATTGTTTGGTAAATGATATAGTCCACTGGCCTTCAGATGCTAAATATATTTCAGAGATTTTTATTTCTTTCATATAAGGAAGATACCTTAGACTGGTTCCGCTAAGAAGCATATTAATTCCTGAAACAATGTACAATGGGGAACCAGTCATAATTGGAAAGTTGCCATATATACTTTCATATTACAATCTTACATTAAACTCTGTGAGAAAAAAATGTACATGTATAGTATTATGTAATATTGTTAAGATTAAATGAAGTGCATTTTGCGCTCTTTAAGTTTTCTGTAAAGAAATTTGTTTAAAAGTCTTGTACATGTATAATTGGCCAGCCACTTTTATAATGTTAAAAAAACTGCAAAAGGAGTTTTAGTGTAAATTTTCTCAGTGATTGTACTAGCTTTTTTGATGCTTTTTTGCTCAGCTTAATTTTGTCTCCCGATATGTAATATATTATTTAATTGACCTTTCTTTTCTTTACCAAAAAAAAATGTATTTTAATATCAGTTACCGTCTATAAATCTACGCATTTAATTTTTATGTATATTCTGTTTTTTGTGCCATTTTGTTTCTTCTTCATATGAACTGTATAGTTATTTTTTGTGCATTTTACTTTTGTTACTTTAATTTTAATCCAGCCATGAGAGAAAAGATTTATTGTTTTATCAAGTCTGTAACATTATTTACATTCTGATTATGTGTATATTTCTTTTACAATTTTCCCCATTTTGTTTTATCGGGCGTCCGTTATCAAACGGTAATGGTTGGTGACTTCAGATCACTGTACAGTCTATGTTATGGATTCAAATTCCTAGCGGGCCTTTTGGTTCTTTTTACAATTAGCTTAAGGAACGTTGGTGGTTCTACTCAGGTGTTCTTTGTGTCTGAAATAATGTACAGAAGAGCACCAGTAAAGCTGGAAGTAACCATTATGACCTATACTGTGTTTGTGCAATGTTAAAACCCAACCAAAAATATAATAAAAAAATTTGATTCTTTTCATGTGAGGAAGTTGTGTAGCTACATGCTGCATATGGAAAGTTGGCAGTTTTTAATTTGATGCCTGGAATTCGGCACAAAAAGGCAACTGGGGTCCGGATAAACTGGAATGTTCTCATATGACAGTTACAGCATGGGTGTGACTTAAAATTTCCATTAAAAAGCTAATAATGTTGTTTTGTATTTCTTTAGTTAATCTCAGTTTGTTTTGGAAAGAGTCAGTAAATCTTGAAGCACAACTTGTAAAACCTGGGTCGTGTTTAGAGATAAAACATAAAACAAATGATTAATATAATTATAATACTGCGCGTTTGTAATGTTGCATTGTATCATTGGATAATGATGACATTTATATTTTTTTATATACACGGCTACCATAAATTTAGGAAGAAATCTCACTTTTTTCTCTTAAGAAGGAAGTATGCCGTATTAAAAATTTGTTATAAATTTTCCGGACATGTTATATGGTCATACATAAATAGTTGTTTGCAATATAACCAATCAATATATTTCCAATCAACTATTTATAAAGGGCTATATAACCTGTCAAAAATCTTTATAACTAACCATATATCATTCCAATGAGTGATAATATAATGATGTTGTATATACAAATGTGTGGTATAAAGACATAGGTCATTAATATATTACTATGGAAACAAGCAACTTTATGTGTTAAAAGTATAAATATTAGATGTTAAAGATTTTATGTAAAATTAAATTTGTATATGGTGGTTAAGTAAAAATTTGTACTAAGTCACTGGAGATTTTCCGAGTGGAAAAATTACCATGATTTTGAATATATAATGTGTATATATCGAAGTAACCAAAATTTAATGGTATTTTTAAGATTTGAAATTGTAAAAAGTAGAAAAAAAGCTGATAGTTAAGTCACTACGAGTAAGAACTATTATTATTAGACTAAGCCACTAAAAGTAAGACTAAGTTTCTAAAAATAGAACTTTTTCTTAGTGCTGTAACTTACATGAAAATGGAAAATGTTTACGTAAAATATGTAAATTATGTGTTATTATGTATATTTTTTATTGTTTTGTGGTGAATTAACAGAGTGATTTTCGAGTGCCCTAACCCACTAGTCATATATATTTATTTACGATGTACACGTTTTATATATATTTTACTAACAAGTTAATTCCTAGTCCAGTTTTGTTTTAGAGCTAACAAATTTTAGTCATTTTGTTGTATTCATAATTATATATATATAACTATATATTCTAGCTATTAGCTTTAAAACTTTATATTATCTCTTCTTTTTTTGATCATTTCTCAATCTTAAGCAAATTAATTTATTAAATCTTTATCTACTTGAACCGCATGCGATTTGCCTTTGCCAACGGTATGGAGCTGGACCAGCCTAGACATCCATGCAGTCTGGTTGGGTTCGATACTTCTGGTAGCCCAGTTTTTGTTTTCTGACTCTGAAATCCCTTACACTTTGAATGGACTGTTCCAAACTCTCAAGCTGGGCAAGTCCATTATGCAATTGCACTAGGTTAAGAGTTAACACTGTTTTCTGAAACTTTATCCAGAAACTGTACCCAGTTTTCATTTCCTTAATGATTGTATTTGAAAATATGTTATTAATTTATTTGCAATGCTTTTAATGCCATTTAGTAAACTTCATTGAAATACTTTTCATCATTTCATATTTAAAGTTGCAAATGCCTATGCCAAAAATCATTCCCCAGAGTTTATTATTTTTTTCTTAAGATTAACTGCTCCATTTGTGCAATAACTGATACTGTATTAATTTTTTGTCAGAGCTGTCTTTTCAATGACTTATAAGTGGACCGTCCTCATTTCTGTTTTTAGAATTCTAAGATTTGGCAATAACTTAAGATATTTTAGAATATGTGCTATGAGATATTAATTGTATTGACTTGTTACGGGGACAATTTAGGTTTTGATATAGTGCACATTTGTGTAATGTTTTAAATGAATGTTTGCTATATGTATTACCTATTGATGAATATCCAGTGTTATTGTTCTTTAAACATCAAATTTTGAAAAAATACAGTTAAACTGCTACAGAGCAACTCCATTTTGGAGACAAAGATTTTGGTTGTTGCCGCGAGAAGTGAAAATTATTCTCTTATAAGCTTTATTGTACTGAGGTTATTGTTTAACAGAGGGTCACCTTTTAGAGGTTGGAGTGTATATTAAAGAGATAAAGCTTTAAGTACGAAGTATATTTTTAAAAGGAAAGTTTATTCTCAATATACATGTACTTTGAACAACTCTATATAATAATGTTCCTGTTAGAATTCTGTCCTCCTTATCTTGTATAACCCTTGATGTTCTCCCAAAAAGTTCAACTTTCTGTTAATTACTGAATCATTCCATTGTATTTTTTTTTGTAATTGCATGTTCAAAATAAACATTCTTTTTAAAAAATATGACTTTTGCTTGCTCTTTTGTTACCCTCTTGAGAATTAAGTAATCACTCAAAGCCCTTTGATACTTACTTATGCCTGTGTCAACAAAATAAAGACCTTTTTACGACGCTGTCCGTTGCTATGAAAAATAGACCGTTGCTATGATAATAGACCGGAAATCGGAACACCTATGTTATTGAAGCAGACTATAATGATGGTTGTAAAATATTAGCTTTGAAATACCTCGCCTTTACAATGGTAAGTTCCAAATTCAAAGCAGGGCTAGCCCATTATACAGAGTTTCAAATACGGGCCATCTGGGGTCAAAAGTTAGCTGACAGCCAAAATTAAATATGGAAAAAACCTTTTTATTTGCACTGTTTCATGTGCAGATATGAATGTTAGGATATTATTTTAGATTTTAATATTTCATCTGCTCTTCATTCATTGCAATATTTACTAAGAACGTTAATAATCAGGTGAGCGATATATGGGCTATCGTGGCCCTCTTGTTTATTTAAGCCACTAATGATTTTAGAAATTACATGTATTGTTGACTTTGTTTTAGACAGCTGTAATTTTTGCTCATTATTTCAAGGACTGTATGCATAGCAACGACCTTGACGACATTAAAACGAACCACATTGTTACAAATTATTTACGAGTACATGTGCTACCAAGCTATGGTCGATATGTACATGTACATGTATGGGGTTCGTTTACAAAGCAAAACAATGAATAGGAATAATTGACACGGACACGTGAGCGGACAAGCCGACATATATTTATACAGAATCTGATAACTTGATTTTTTTTATTCGTTTTTAGCAAAATAAGCACATATTAAAATTTGGCTACAGCTCTTTCCATCTCACAGCTTTCCAACACATATAGCTGTCATATTAATTTAACCATTACAAGTTAAACACACATGAAAATACATCTTGCACACACATATTCTTCTTGAAATATAAACCATAGGAAATAATTATTGTTTTATTCTCTCTCTAGAGATCCTTCTCGGACCGTGCGAACTCCTCCGTGTGTCTGTTCATATGCACAATTTCCCATTTCTTCATCCAAGGGCCTAAAACTCTGGTATCGAAATCCGGGTCAGTTTGCGGAACTGATTTAGCCTATAATTTAAAGAAGAAGGAATACAAAATCTAAACAGTTATTCTTACGTGTAATTAAACGACATAAATTATAAGTATAAAATTGCTACTAGTAAAAGTTTAAATAAATGTTCTTTTTGTTTTTTTTTTTCGAATTTAGTTTTATCTCCAGTACAATCAAGCTCGGTCCCTGAAGACTCGAGATACCGAGAGTCAACTGTATTTTTATCTAAGGTTATATCCACAAAGAAAAATTACGTCATTCCTTTCAACGATTAATATGTATTTTCCTATCATTTCATGCCTTTCTCATAGAACATTGAATATGACGCAAAAATATGATTTTATCCTGTCACTTGTATCAATTTCGGCCCGATAACAAGGTGCCGTATATTTTTACTGATCTACGGCACTTGATCACGTGGTATGCATGTTTGCCGGACTACTTTTCAAGAAAAAATATAAAAACTGTCGTTGAATCTTCTGTGTGTAGAATAACGAATTTGGAAACTTTGATAAAACTTTGTTTGTTTATTTTATTTCACTCTATAATTTTTCAAGCGAAATAAAAATTATTAAAAGTGAAATAAACGTAAAACTTAACTCGTTTGCGACATTAAAATAGCGTAATTGATTTGATTGTTTTGCACGTGCTGTTTGGCGCTACATTGTGACGTCACGTAAACAATACTTTAAACTTCTGTACAGCGTTAACGACTGAATAAAAGATATTGGTGTTCGAATTCATTTTCTTAGTAAGACCATTTTCTTTCATTCTAGATAGTTTTCACAACAAAATTCGACAAAAAATTGTTGTTTTTTTATCACATTTTTCAAACAAAATGGCGCCCTCAATGTGAAAATACACAGGGAGATAATAAGAACGGCGAGTGCATTGTTGTAGAATAATGCACGTTTCGGGCCTTCTTTGTTTATATAGAAACATTTCCGATAGTGTGATTAAAGCTAGTTTGCCTAATAAAATTCTTTAAAAAAACGGTGACAGGATAAATAGAATAATAGATTGGTGCCGTGGATGGAGAAAGTTTATCTGGCTCTGCTCCGGAATTTATTGGGTTCGCCTTCGGCTCACCGAATAAATTCCTCCGCCTCGCCAGATAAACTTTCTCCATCCGCGGCACCAACCTATTATTCTCTATAGTTCGCATTTTAACTCTTAATCCGAATTTATAATGGTCCTAATAACATAATTGTCTATTTTTTTATTCAAAAAATGTATGTGACTTGACCATTTCTTCCTCCTTTAGCATGTTGTCCTGTGCCTCGTGTCTATTTATAGAATCGAAACTGTCCCAGTCTATTTTTAAGTCCGGGTCCGTAGATGATCTCATAACAACAGCGTCTTTAAGCCCGTAGAAACCAGCCGGGTCTGAAGACCGCTGCCATCTCAAGTCAACACTCCAGCGCACGTGATCGGACAGATTATCAAGGCTGTGGAATAGTGAGTCTCTTTTTTTGAAACATTTATTTAATTTTTTATATATTTTTTAATTGATAACACACTATGACACACTATGTCTCAGAAATCCATATTTATTAAATTCTTTAGAAAGGCCAAACATGCGTTGAATAATGTTTTAATAGTGGATTTATATTATGTTAGATGTTTAACAGCTGAAGAAAGTTGCCAATAAAACAAAAGAAGCAAAGATAGTTTATAAAAAAGATAAATGAGTATTTTTGGGAAATTTCAAAAGTTTTGTGAAATAAAAACGACAGCATTTGAGGCATAATGGGCCTTTAATTAAAGTTTATCTCAGACATTTAACAATAAATGGGAGGTAAATCAATGCTGAAGAGAGTTTTTTTTTAGAAGGCTGAGTTCTTCCCCTTGATAATGTGATGTTCGGTTCTGTTTCAGCATGGTTAGGTCCTTTCTTACGTTGTATTTGAACATGATAGAATAGAACCCTAACGTTAGATCAATTAAAGTAAGTTAACTCCTACCAGCAAGACGACATACCATTTAGTTTTAACCAGAATTATAATAATATTAATAATAATAAAGCAGTTTCCGTTGTTTCATTTTCTACTTTAAATCTGACTACAATTTTTTCAAGTTTGATTTAACTGAAATATTTTGGCACTTCTGGAGGCATGAAACTTCAACTTAAATTGTTTGCCTACCTGCGATGTGGTATCACGTTGTTAAATAAAACCATACTGCCGTATTTTATTGGTAACGTTTTCAACTGTTTTTCTATGTCGATTCCTAAAAGTATGTAAATAAAATAGGTTAAGAGTTTGCTCATCTTATTTATCAATTCCAACCTGAATACGTAAGTTTGCCTTACTAAACCATTTATTCGAATTTGTTTAAAATTGTACATGTCGCTGTCAACAAGCATAATTGCTTCGAATCTTCTTATTTATAATCAAGTACATCGGCTTGGTCGGGAAAAAACATAGCATATTTGTTTTCTGCACACAACACAATTCAAGTTGAAAATTACTATGATTTATTGAAAATAATATTTTCAGCAAGAAAAATTACTCGGTTAAATCTATATAGTTCGCTATTTTTAGCATTAAGAAAAAAAAACAAACGCAGTATCATACGTCTGCTTGTTACCTAATGTGTTTTTCATTTCTTCGTCATCAAGCATTGTATACCAGGTGCCTCCCCAGCAACACTGATGCCTAGCAACCAATCCTTTCTCGTGACCATTCTCAATCATCTGAAGTAATACGAAATGAGGGGCATAAGAGATTTATAGTCGAAAAACCAATAGGTAAGTACTTAGAGCTACTTGTATTATGAAATTACATTACAAGTAATTAATGTTTAGGCATTGATTTCTTGAGGTAAGAATATTCTCTAACTTTGCAACAGACTTTTAGACACAAATATCAAAAAGACTGTTCCTTTATATTTGCAATAAAATCTAACCAGAGCTTCAATGTCTTTTCTTTATACCATTAAAAGTTAAAACCATAAAAGTTATTTTACTTTGTTGTCTTATAAGAAAACAACAAAGAGCGAAAACATAGTTTTTGGTGAGTCTGTTATTTTGTATCAACAAATTGAAGCATATGTATTTATATCACCAAAAGTATTGACTGACAGCAACTTGAAGTTATGGTGCCAATCTGTACAAGTGCCTATTGGCACTCTGGCTCCCATACAGTTTGAGAGACAGCAGGGAAGGGAAAGTTAGCAATCCAGCTGTCCTCGCAATTGCGGGTCAATTTAGAGGTTTGGTTTTGGATTTGTAATGGGGATATATCAGCTTGCAGTGTGGATGTGGGTATAGTGAAAATTGTCATTCAGCGAGGATTTTACCATTTGTGCTCGCGGGGCAGTTTTTTCTTTAACCAGCTGTTTGATTATCAAAAAGACGAAGACCCCACGGCCCAACTATTTTCCAGAATTTGGGGTTTGGAAAACGACCTACAGTAAAAAGGGATTACGATAGAATATCATACATGCAACTGATAAGCAATTAATAACATGCCAATTCTAATACTATTGCGACAACACAAGCGACGTAGACAACAATGACAAACAAATATCACCATAAAATTCAACTTGGAATATGTAGAGGAAACTAACGTAACTGGGGAGTAAAATACAAGAACAACTTGCCTGTAAACACCCATTGTTCTCGTCAGTATCGAGGAAAGGAATCCACGCGGTAGGAACTAGCATATTATAGGAGCTATTGTCCGTATAGGAGCAATCTAAAATATACAAAATTATATCCTTAGAACAAATAATATTAGAGGAGCTAGTGTCCGTATAACCTAAAATATATAAAATTATATTCTTAGAACAAATAATGTTAGAAGAGCCTGTCGGTATAGGAGAAATCTAAAATAAATGAAATTATGCCCTTAGAACAAATACTATGAAAGGAGCTATTGTCCGTATACTTAGAAGCAATCTAAAATATATGAATAATTACATAAGCAATAACAGGTATATAAAAAAAATTATTCTTTAAAGAAAAAGACATGCACCTAACAATTGTGCAAGTGGGGATCTTTGGGAACACTAACGAGATTAAATGCGGGGTATTTAACAGTTGTGTCATTTGGAAAAATGCCTTTATTTGGACAATATATAACGCCTATTTTATGCAAATGTAACTCCGGCTGACTTTTAAGTAAGATTATTTCAACAGAACTTTGAAAAAATACGCCAATATTTGCACGTAGGAGAACTCGACACTGCATTTTCTAGCATTATAGTATAACTTCATTTGGCATGTTCATATAAATGTCACTAAAAATTAGACCTTATAACACTCGTTATATAACCCAAATACGGCTTTATTACCTTGATGCCATGGAACCGTTGTTGCCTCATTTTTCGGCGTTTTTGTTCTGAGGTTCCAGACGGGATTTCCCGCGATATCAGGACCAATCAACTGTTCAACAAGGTTTAATAGTCGCTCGTTAGACCATAAATCCTTAAGTGCCTGCGTGTATGAAAGAGAAGAAAGGATACATTTTTACAATATTTTAGCTGTATAGACATATACTTTTAAGTTTAATAATGATATATTTGCACTTTTTGGATTGGTGTCAGTTGGAAATGTTTAAGTAGACTATGTACACACTTATACAGACGTACACAAGCCTAAAAGTTCAAAAAGTGCTAAACTAAAAATCAGTTTTGTAGTACGTTATGTCTAATTTTTTAAATTAAATCAATTTATACGATTTATCTGTCCACGAAAATGCATTTATGTTTTGAGCGCATATTTTAAAAAAACCCAAGCCGATGCCACCTATAAATAACCAAATTATCATGTCGTTGCGTACAATCAAATCAAGCTCTAAATTGTAGGTTGCTACTTTAAATGAACTGTAGCAACAGAAAACATAGCTAGTCCATAACTACGGTGTCCTTATCGTGTCATTTATAATGATAATAAAGTGTGACCGCGGCAATCAACACTGACAATGCGACCTTGCGAAATGACATTGCGACAATGCCATAAACGCTTGACAATGCAAATTTAAAGCGACTCTCTACATTGCAAAGTAACGTTTGAATAATATCGCACTTTCTATTAGCTCTGTCAGAACGTTAGCAGCGGAATCGCAGATTGCAATATAGAAGCTTAACTCCAAGTATCTAGGTATAATCAACGTCTATGACAGACAAGACAACACTCATAGTAGAGTACGTCCAGAGAGAAATCCAGATCTATCTTGTTGCATTTTCCTGACGACATGGCATAATAACGTGATTGAAGACAGTGAAGAGGAAATTTGAAACTACGTTTAATTAACAGATAATATTAGTATCAGCGGAGTTTAAAGGCTGTTTAAAACCGGTTGGAGTGCTGATGCGTAGAAATTGACCATAAAAGCCGTAGGTCTGAGTCTAATGTTTTCGCATCAAAAGGACAAAACTTCTTTATGGGTTCTATAGATAACCTTGGAAAAAATCCTTAGAATTTTGCAATCCATCATATATTAAAAATAAATTTATTCTTTTAGGGGGAGAAAGCGTTTACCGACTATAACTCCTTTCAGTTATATATTCTATCTTTTTATCCCACTTTCATGTGATTTGTCTATTTAAAGTTACCTTGACAGTGATGCTGCCATCCGATATGTAATTTGTACAATGATAGTCAAAACTCATAACACCCCTAGTCGAAACTCAAAAGTGGCCTTCCAAGGCTTATATACTCGAGCCTTTCTAAGTTTCTATCTTATTGCTGCGATGATATTTCGCATTCTCGTGTAGCTACGGGCGACATTATAAATGACACGATAAGGACACCGTACATAATATATTTCAGCAGAGAAATATAATCCAATGACTGCTGTAAAACGCGGAAGTAAGTTCGCGTCAGGCGATATCCTAACCGATTTTCCATACCCCCATGCGCCGCCACCACATATTGCACGACTTTCTTGTGCTCTGTTCAATCATATATTAAAAATCCTTACCTTTGGGACCTTGCCCATCTGTTTAAAGCATAGAATGTTTGCACCCGGGAAGTCTTCCTCTAGCTTACATAGTCTATCTCGGTAACCATGATCTTTGTATAAATCTGAAATATGTAACAGGTTTTAAAGTTTTTTTTTGTGTTCGTGTATGTATTAAATAATAATAGGACCAAACGTTGTCGCACGGAGAAGCCATTCGCTTTGACCATCTTATCATAGACGATCTGTGTCTAATACATCCAGGAAAGCGGTATTTAATTGTGTAAGATAAAAAATAAAAACTGCTACAATGTAAATCTACTTGTAGCTCGTCGCAGCAATGGTAATTTACTTTCATAATCTGAAGGCTTCCTCCTGCAGCTACAAGTCTGAATAAGCCATCCGGTATAAAAAAGTGCATAATTAAGTCACTTAAAACTAAACTTAATTAAAAAAAGCAGATAATAGAGATTTACTTTGAAATAGCTTTATAAGTATGTTAATACAAGTTTTGAAACTTGATATTTGATATTCTAATCAAATGTAAGTATGACCTGACATCTAAATTTTGAAATATTGTTATAACTTAGTTACCTTTAACTTTGCCAGCCTTATAAAGTTTGTTTGCGAGTATGTCCACATACTGGTTTATGGCTTCTTTCACCGGCTCTAGGTCTGAGGCAGTGAAGTAATCTTTTACCACCAAATATCCCTGTAATTAATATTATTCATTCCAAAGTTTGATACAGTTTACAAAAATCTTTGGTGGACCACAAAGGTTCAAGCGTCTGCTTGCGCACATCACGGATTTATATTACGCGGAATTATATCAATCCGTGCGCACATATACTTTCCATACCTATTTAAGACAAGATCACCGCAAAGGCGGGGCAATAATTATAGTCCCGAATGAAATTTGTTTGCGTAATCAAAATTGACCTTTTCAATTAAGGAAGAGACCCATTCATGAAACTCGTCCAATTTCTTATATCTAAATTATCCATATGAAACTAATTAAGTGATCCCGAGGGAAGGAGTAATTTCATATTCATAAAACGTTTGTAGAGGTCCTTTAGACAGTGCTGCATGCCAAATATCTAAGCTCTTGGCATTCTCGTTCTCAACCTAAATATTAGATGTGTTTCCTTATACATAAGTCTACATAAAGCAAGTGATCCACAGCGTGTGACACGTTACTGTCATTCCATGAAAAGTGGCGTAAGGTCCTCAAGTACAAGAGAATGCGTTAAGATCAGTTTTCACAAGATCGATATTATAACGTTGATAATCCCTTAAGTTTTAAGTTTATCCTTCATAGTAAAATACTCATTGTTTGTAAAACTATTAAGATATATTTCCAATATCTATGTTAATTTAGAACCATGATTCATTTGTTTTCTATTGAAAAAATGTAGTCATTTTGATATTGATCGTACACGTAGTTTTTTATGTCCCCGTTGTCCCCGTCGTGTTATTGGTGATGAATTTCACTTTTTTTGAAAATTATTTCAGAGATACCAGACTTAAATCACTTCACCCTACTTTTTGTTACTCACCCAAACATTTTCTAACTTGACAGATTAATATGTAGTACAGATAAACCCAGATACACTATGTCCAAAGTTAGAAAATATTGATAATGGCTACACGTACACAGTCTCATTACAATGTTTTGACTTCACACAAAGTAACATGTTATGTATAAAATTCTACACAAACACTGTAGGTGATCACAATATGACTATATTATGTTATTAAAAGACTAGCAGTTTTTTTTTGTAAGAAAAAATAAACAACTTTACTTAACCGTTAATAGGGAATAAAGCTTCCTAAACATATATAGGAGTAGTTTATTCATTGTTTTGTTCAAATTAGACATATTCAGTAAAACTTTCATAAATTTCAGTGATTGAAATATTTTATTCAAGTATGAGCATAGTATTCAATTATTTTGTAAAAGCATTATCTTAGAGTTAATATAATATATCTTAAAATTTATATAATAGTTCTCATTCTCCACTGCTGAATGTTGTGCTAGCTTCACACTCCAGCTCGACATTGCCAAATGAGACAAAAACGAATGTCGAGCTGAATGTTGTGCTGAATGTCTTCTAACCAGCTTCACATCCGGTCATGACATTCATAAATCGAATGTCGAACTGAATGTTTAATGTCGATCTTTGTGCCCACTTCATTGATTTGCATTCTAGACCTCTTTTTCGGACATATTTAATATTATTAATATTTATCCATACGAAAGTCTTGTATTCAAGACGATTTATAGTGACCTCTTTAAATAGCTAGAGATGCGACTAACATTTTGTGGTGAATGTGCACTTTTTAATAGAATATTACTTAAGTGAACAATTTACCTTTGTAAAATAATTCCTGATTTCATCCTCTGGAAGCTGACCGGGTTTTAGTACCTTTGGTTGCTTTGGCATAGCCCGAATATCAAACTTTTCAGGGAAACGTTCCCCAGTAAATCCCGAGTAACTTTTAATATCGGCCATGGTGTTTTCCTATGAACAATAATTGTTATCGAAATAATCTTTATCAATCTGTATACTTACTATCGACCTATCTGACACCCTTTTGTGACAAGTTAAGATTAAATACAAGTACAAATACAATGGTTGGTATAAATTGTAAGATTAAAACCCATCAGCATTTACCTCATTTTGCAAGTAAATATGGTTTAGAATAAGAGGTGTTCGGATAGACGTACAATTTGGAGTGAAATGCACTTCGCTTAAGCCATAGATGTACACGCCCTATTACATTACGCAGTTGTAAAAATGGGTGGTATACAATTACCAAGATAGATAATATTGCACTGACTAGGTCATGCATTTCAATGATTGTCATTTGTTTATCTTATCGAATTGGTCTTTAGCAACTTTAGGCTTTTAGGCTGCCCTCTACAGGCTGCCAACTTAAGGATAATCTTTAATTGAAGGTCTTCAATACCATAAAAAAAATTGTTTGATATTATTTGATATCATAGATGATAACAAACCACGAACGAATTACATAAGTGGACGTCGTCGGCAAGTAGAAGATACACGATCCGATATGACATGTCTATAATTAGCAAAAAGCAACTTTTCTAGATTCATCATATACAAGTATATGTTCATACTTAATCTGTTTAGAACTATCTCAAAAATTTATTTGTCAAAAATATTTCATAAGAATAATTTGGATAACATTTCTTTTGTTAATAGAATTCTATGGAATACTTATGAAAAATGTGCCCGTTGTAGACCAATCAACTTTAAACCATAAGTAAAAGAAAGAGCATCGAAACACGAGGAGATCTGATTTGTACGAGGAGGCGTAGCCCCCGAGTATAAATCAGATTGCCGAGTGTTTTGATGTTCTTTCTCTTTTGTATCATAGTCAAAAATAAAAACACGTTCCCTAATGTCACAATATGAAACCACAGAAAAAAGTTACCAATGAACGAGCATCTTTCCATCGCTATCCTTTTCTCTGTCGTCACAATATGTAAACCCCAGACAAAATGAACCAATCAATGGGCTTGCCCTACCGTGCGGGTAACTTTTACCTGCACTCAAGTTAACGCACTGTGCATGTAAATGTATACGATTTAACTCTGACACATTTTCAACAGAAAGGTCCCCAAACTATGATACAACACTATTATACTGATCTCAGTTTTTATTTTTGTCCTTCAGGTTATATAAATATCTTTACCTAGTTAAACTGTAACTGTAACCCTTAGGTCACATAAAAGTTTTTAGAGTTAAATTCGTGCACTTGTATGGCGGAAGTTAACTGACTCCTTTTTGTATCTGTTGCACACACATTTTGTATTTTTCTTATTTTTTTTTTGTATATTGAATTTGTTTTCTTATTAAATTAATTTATTGTATATTTCCTTTAGAAAAAAAAATGCGCATGCAGGAAGAGATTGATGATCGGTTAAATCTCTACGTAAAATAGAAATATAGAGCATTTTATTCTGTTTACGGGAAACATCTTTGTGTGTAAGATAACAGAGACAATCTATGTTACAATTATTTCGAGAATCAACCATACTAATATAGGCGCAAAATAATTTAACTGTTTATAAAGTTTATTGAAATATTTCATAACATACGCTTTAAATATACACGCATTATACAAATTGTAACTGATAAAGTAATGTACACTGACATAATAAGCGATATGTTGAATGAGATAAATTTACCGTGCATGCAACATGTTTAACTGCGCATTTTCACGAATAATGGACAGAAAAACTTATAGGAATGTGATATTTGTCACAATCATTTTATTTCATATGAAGTCACCGACCATGAAACTTCCGCTTTACCTTTTGTTGGATCATGTGCAATGAAATTGTAATGTGAAACAAATTGAACATAAATATTGTTAAAAAGACATTTTTGTATGTCATTTGCTATGATTCGGTTTTATAAGAAAATTTGAAAGTTTAGATAGTGAGACAGTTATACTAATGGATGCATCTCTTACATTAAGTGGTATTGTACTGACTTTGATAACATTACTTGTGTTGTCATGGTGGACAAAATGGTTCAGTAAAAAACGGTATCCACCTGGACCATGGGGCTTCCCTATACTAGGACACCTGCCTTTATTAGGAGAAAAACCGGAGTTAAAGTATTTGCAGTGGCGGAGAAAGTACGGAGATATTTTTCGTATACGCTTTGGTAGTTGGGAAACAATAATTGTTAATGGACATGAAGCTATTAAAGATGCCGCGGAACGAAAGGACGATGCCTTTTCCGGGAGACCCGAATTCGTTTCACAAATTGCTATCAAAGAGCAATTCGATGGTTTAGAAGCTATTAGTTTTTGTAACTTTTCACCGACGTATCTTCAAGTCAGAAAACGGACAACAACGGCCATACGAACATATATCAATAAGTGCGATTATCCTCCAAATGAACTGTTTCGGGAAGAAGCTGAAAAATTAACAGAAAAACTATTGAGATATCCATGTGATGAGCCCGTATCTTTAGATTTAGATATTCAGTTGGCTGTTATAGGTACGTTGTATCAGATGCTTTACGGCAGAGGAAAAGAAGATGAAATAAAACCACACTTGAACTTAATCATTGAATCATCGGACACGTTTACAAAATTTGTCGAGTCTGGAAATTTAGTTGATGTTATTCCTTGGTTAAGGCATGTGAAACAAATGGAGGTGGATCAATTCAAAAAAGCGATAACAGCAACTTATGGCATCACAAAATCGAAGATTTCTGAACATAGAACTTCATACCAGAATGGCCAAACAAGGGATATTTTAGATGTCTTATGTGAGCTATCAGAGGATTTACCCGATCATGACAGCAACGGTAAAACATCAGCCACACTTTTACAATTTCAAATTTCGACATTGCAAGGTGCCGGGTTTGAAACAACAAGTCGCCTGTTACTGTTCATCATCTTATATCTGACTAAATATCCAGACGTACAGGAGCGTGCACAGAGAGAGATTGATCAAGAATTAGGAAGTAACAGGAATATTTCTGAAAAAGATCAGGCGAGCCTTCCGTACGTAATGGCAACTATCCTTGAAGTTATGAGAAAAGCATCAATAACTCCATTCGCTCTACCTCATTTTACACTGCATGACACAAAACTGCGAGAGTATGACATCGACAAAGGCACAGTTGTCTTTTTTAACTATCATTCAGTAGCAAACGAAGAGTCATATTGGGGTGATCCGGAAATCTTTAGACCTGAAAGACTTCTTGATGATTCAGGTAAACTGGACAGGGAAAAAGCCTCGTATATCCTTCTATCCACATTTGGCACGGGACGGCGTCAATGTCTCGGTGAGGCGTTAGCAAAAATGAACATTTTCATTGTAATTTCAACTTTGCTACAGCGCTGTTCATTTCAGAAACCTGACGGATGTGACCTTGATCTTGAACCCATTAGAGGTCTTATTCTGTCGCCAAAACCATTCAAAGTCATTGTGAAAAGAAGATTCTAGACGAAACTTCTATTCCTGTGATGTTAATAAATCTTTAAACTAATGAAGACAATAAGATGGTGTATTAACAAATTTGGACAGAAAGGGAACAGATAAATATATCATCGATATTAAGTTTGACTGATCCTAAAAAAATTGGACCTTGTCAATGGAGTATGATGATTATTTCATAATACTACTTTAAGCGGCCTTCGTCTTTCATTTACTTTTGGAAAAAACAGTTCTGTGTTGTTTCAAACTAAGTAATTAAGTAATTTTATCTTGGAAAAGTGCATCACATCACTGTAAAGCCTTCTTTATCGTACCGAGAGCTTTTTATAACGCGTCTGTGACGTTCGTTTCTAACAATAAATTGTCAAATACAAAGAGCGGACCGGTAGAGTAGGGGTATCAAGGGGATTTTCTTATTGTTTATGTACTTAATTTTCATATATGAAAGGTTTTATCTAAACAATAACATATTTAATCAGACTGAGACCGCTTTCGCCTTTGAACGTTTATATTCACTATAATTATAACTGAGCATATTTGCCGCTTATAATTAACTTAGTATATCATTACTGCATTTTCTTCACAAAACATTTTTTGAGAGCCTTCAGTTGGTCAGTTAGAATCAGTAAAGGGATTGACTATATTTTCACGAAGAATATATTATCAATATTTTCATTTACAATATCTCATCAATATTACATCTATGAACCTGTTCAAGAAGGGTTAATTAATGATTCAACATCTTGAATGCTTGATTCTGATGACATATATCTTTCATTATATTACATTACATCATGTTATTTTAAAGTTCTATTTATCACCAAGTCTACATCTATGTTTGTTCATAAAGATTTCAATTTTTAATGTTTGTCAAATCATTCTTTTTTTTTTTTGGTAATATGTTTCATCATTAATAAGCAGCATCTCGCTCTTTTAACAGTACGCCATATATCGTCATCTACTGTAGATATTACTATAGGGCCAACCTCAATCAAGAGATCTGAAACATGCTTTAATGACCATATCGTTATAAGTTTCATGACACTACTAATTTCTGAATCTATTTACTTTGTTCGTACATAATCCTGGTCTTATGTCACATTTTGAGAATGAACATTCTAAAGTTTTGAATAAGTTGCCTGTTTAAAAAAGAGTGGAACTGTAATGTCGTTAGTTTAATAAAAACTTCGGTGATGCAGCTGAATATATAGGTAAAAAACTATATTCATTTATATGAGACAAGATCAAGTAAAAGTTTATTCTATATTGTTTCCAAAGTGTAAAATGTAATGGCGCAAAATCAGTTGTATATCATGGCTGTTATAAAACTTTTTACTGTCAAAGTTGTCAGTCAAAAGTCATTTTGTAAATATGTTATTATCTTATGTTTCAACTTTAAACATACGTTTGTATAGTTTTTATGAACACTATTGGCTGACATAATTTTGGACTGTGATATTTTATTTCACACACCAATGACAATATCTTCAGTGCCTTAAGGCAACAATGGATGTAAGTGATTTAGTTCTTTATTTGTTTTATCTTAAGTCATATGTGATGGGTCTGGTTTCATTTCTCATATATTTCTTTTGAGTGTTTTATTACTGGTTTATCATGTTTAAGATATGTACTAAAACGTTACTATGATGCACTACTTTAACGGGATAGCATTTAATCAGAAGGTAAGTTTACGCCGAATCAATTAATTAAATTTACACAAAAAATTAGATAAATTAACAACCGGAATAATTGAATTGGTCAAAACGTGATTACAACCTCTACACATCATAAAGACACAATATCTGTGCTATACTCATAATATTTAAATAAATATTAAGCAGCAGAAATAATGGTGTGTTTTCACTCTTTGTCATTGGCGTTGTGTACAAACTGTAATGTAGCCCATTATTCAAACATTTAAAAAAGTAGCTGTTTTGTCTGTTAAATTTGGTTTTACGTCACACCGACATAGTATAGATCATATGGCGGCTTTCCATCTTAATTCGTGGAGGAAAACCTCAGGTGCCCTTCCGTGCACCATTTCAGTCACGAACGGGTACCTGACTAAACCACCGACGTTCAGTATGCTAGCTGGATAGCTTCTGCACATGAAATAATCCAAAGTCCCTGTCGGGATTCGAACCCACAGCGGTGAGGGGCAAGGGACCGTTCCGATTATTTCCGCCTATTGCGCAATCCCTAGTGATTGTTGCTATGCCTCACAAGCCGGCATCCAAAATGGCGGCCGTACCTGTTTCATCAACAGCAACCGACTAGCTAGAAGATGTACCCGATAATATATCTATTAGTTTTCTACCTAATCACAGAAGTCTTATGGAAAGGATTATAAAAAGAGGTTTAAATTACTATCTACAAGGCTATGTCCATCAAATCAGGGTTCATATTGACGATAAACCCAAGGTAAAGGTTGTTGCTCGGTGTTGGAGATCTATGAGGAAAAACGAAAAGCCGCACACTCTGCACATTGAGATTCTTAAAGATACTATAACAAAGTCATACTGCTCTTGTAAGGTTGGGTAAGTAATCAAGTACGTAAAATTGTCGGTCAAAAGCTATACATTAACATAGCTTATGTTTTGTAAAATGTTATATATGTATACCGACAATAAATAAATTTTGATTTGATTTGATTTGATTTGTCAACAACTTAAGTTGGCTTTCTTTGGGGATTCTGTATTTCTCTATTTTAGAATAAAAAATGAATTGCACCCCTCCCACTTTCAAAAAAAAATAAAATAAAATAAAATAAAATAGATAAATAAAAAATATAAAAAAAATGTATAGACTATACACCATTATGTAGTCCTTTTTATTAAATAACTATGTCGGATTTTTATTAATTCCCTTCAATGCAGAAAAAGAAATATATTTAACCATCCTTGAATAGGCCTAATTGTACTGAGTCTGATGTAGTCTTGTAGAAACATTTTCGTGCTTTTGTTAAAACGATTTACTGTATAGACAGATAAAAGAGTCATGGTGAAATTTTTCTGTCAACTTAATCAAAAAAGATCTTATGATAACAAAAATGATCATCATCATCATCCTCATGATTTATCATCATCATTGTTGAATCACTGTTTGATACAATAATAATGTGCAGTCTTGTATATTTCAGATTAACAGGCCACTGTTCCCACATTATTGGTCTAGTGAAAACCCTTCAAGGACTGAAACTACACAACATCAGTAATGTACCTGACCAGTTGAGTTGTACAAGTGTGCCCCAGCAATGGCATGTTCCAAGAGGAGAGAAGTTAGAGCCTGTCCCACTTAACCATGTTGTGGTGCCCCAAGCTTGTGAGACAAGGAAGAGAAAACCAGTTTTTTGCCAAGTTGACACTCAGTACAAGTAAGATTTTAAACAAAGTAAAAAGTAACTACAAATATGTTTTTAAAATTTCCTTCTTTATTTATCTTACATAACTATAACAGAAACCAACCATTTAGGCGTTTTACTTATATAAATTTTAACAATAATGTCAGATACTTGTACATTTTACATGTATAAAATTTGTTAAAATGTTTTAATTTATGAAATCTTTCACATAAATTACAGGCTTCCAAAGGTTACCAGCAATGATATAGAGCAGTTAAAAGGGGCCAAAAGGCACACCTCTTGAATACCTTCTCTCATCAAAGAGGCCATTAGTTACAACAGATCTTGGTCAAGTTCAGCTTGGTTCATTTCTGTCATATCAGGTAATAATATTTGTAGATACAATATTTTAACATCTGTGTAATATACACAAGGTTTATTGAATTGCTCATTCTTAGGTAAAATGTTTTAATCACAGAAATTCATTGAAATCTATGATATTCTTACTGAATATGTAGAATTTGGATAAAAGATTGAATAAACTATGTATAGGAAGCTGCGTATCCTTTAAACAGGTCAAGTAAAGTTGTTCTTTTCTTAAAAAAAATGCCAGGTTTTGTAATGACACTATACATGTATATTCATATTGTGACCACCTATAGTATGTAGAATTTTAAACATAACATATCTACTTTGTGTGAAGTCAATACATGTTTATTTTATATTTACTATGAACTAATTATCAATATTTTCTAATATCAAATTTGAGCATAGTATATCTTTAATACAAATTCATCCAAAATCAATCAAGTAATAACACAACTACTAATTTTGCAGTAGTATGTTAGTACATTTGTTAAACAAATGTTATTGCAATTCAGTCATTTGTCTTTTACAAATATTCTCTGATGTAATGTAAGTATTGCACAAACAGACCAGATCTTATTAGCTTGTTTAAATAATGATGTAGGAATTTTATGAGACAACAATTTATATGTCTTCACTTTAGCTATTACTCTTTCAACATGAACTCGGTGTTTGGCAATTTTTTTGAGTTAAATAAGTATCAAATGAAGACATCTGTGATGAACAAGAAGAAAATGGGGGAATGTTTAACACAAGGCCAAGTTTATTAAGTTCCTTTTGTATTGTAAACCCCTTATCAGCCATTATACCATCAACTGGATTAATGTAACCATGGTTTAACAAATCTTTCAATATGGCATAAAATCCACTTTCTTCACAGATCATTTTATCTGATATTGAACCAGTAAAAAGCTCAGAAATAAAAATTACAGATCCACTTGGGTCACACCCAATTAAAGCTTTAAGAGTAGTAGATGATTTGTAATCACTGTACATTTGACTTTGAAGAGCTAATGCATTTGGTACTTGAGTTTTGAATTCTGTTCCATCTATCATAATTAAGGTTGTAGGACAATCTTTTCTAAATTCTGCTGGCATTCTAGATATAATATCATCCCTTGGGGGCCACAGTGAAATCTGGCCAAATTTAAAATATAAAATATCTAAGAGTTTGTTAAATACAATGCCTGTTGACTGCAAAGATAAACTAAATCTCATTGCCAAATCTTTCAGTCCAAAATCATGTCTCAATCTGCACAGTACAAGAAGAAGTGCATTTTCATTTGATAGTAGCTTAGTGTCTTTTCTACCATATTTTACAGTTTCTTGTGGATTTGGAAACAAAAAAGAAAACAAAAAGAAAAAGTTGACATAAGTTATTCCAGTGTAATATTTAAACAAAGTTTTCATATCCTTTTCCCTATTTCTAATTCCTTCTGCAGAAAATGTTTGTTTCTTTTTCATATCTCTTTCCAAATGTTGTAATTTTGATTTCAGTCTATTAATTTCTTTGTCTTTCTCCAATAATTGAATCTTTAGCTGCAGGTTTTCCTCATGTAAATGAACATCTTGATTCTCTGAAATAATATAACTGCATTTTAATTTCAGACAAGAAATTTGAAGTCACTGATTCCTGTAACAACAAATGGCTGTGGTAACCTCTGTGTCACAAACTCATCACCAATTAGACTTCCTGAAAAGTTTCAGCACTTGATAAGTCATTATACAATTACAGACCCACAGACATTAGAGCAATGTACAAGAAACCAGGCAATGTCTGAAAAATGGCATCAAGCTAGACAAAACAGGCTTACAGCATCAAACTTTGGTGAAATCATGTTAAGGAAATCTCCCCCTAATGAAAAATTAATGTCACGTTTATTTTCTACGGGTAAAGATATTCATGCCCCATCTATATCTTATTGGAAAAGAAATGAGAGCAAAGCCAAGTCTAAATATCTAGCTCAGTTTCCAGGAAGACACATTCATGAATGTGGTTTTGTTGTAAATAATGAGTTTCCATTTTTGGGTGCAACCCCAGATGGAAAACTGAGTGATAATGGAAAAGTAGGGATTATAGAAATAAAATGTCCCTACAGTGCCAGAGACTTGACTGTTGCTGATGCTTGCTGCCAATTAAATAATTTCTTTTTACACACTGATCAGAATGGCAGGGTTGTACTGAAATCAAATCATGCATACTATTCCCAGGTTCAAGGACAGCTCATGATTACAGGTAGTTCATTTTGTGATTTCATTGTATATTGTCCAAATGAGTCTGACTTGTTTGTTCAGCGTGTTGAACCAGATGTTGAATTTATGACAAATATGCTAAATGTATTAGCCAGTTTTTTTTAACAGTATGCTCATCCTTTCTTACATTGCAGTAATGGAAATGTATAGTTTCAAACTATATTTAATTTGTGTATGACATATTACAGGTTATATGGCCATGCATAAGTAACTGTTTGCAATATAACCTTTACTAAGAAGTTTGGGTTATATAAGTTTAAATTAAATTATACTTGGCCATATAAATATGATAATCATGTGCAAGTTACACTTGATTAATGTGTCATGACCAATACCTTTGTCTGTTTGGCAGCCAACTTCACATTGTCCACTAAGTTCATAATCTCTTTGATTTCCATCATTTTGATTTGTTTGTACATTTCTGAAATAAGTAAAGAAGATGCATTAGTATCAGTAATCATGACTGTTTCATAATTTATAAATATTTATATTTGGGCATGGAGTGAAGTTCATCCTATTAGAAACAATTATCACTTTGTTTATTGTAACATACCCTTAATTGTTACAAAAACGCATGTTATAATTTAGTACTGTGTTAATTAGCATAATATTAAGCAAAAAAGCTTCTGTGTAGGCTTAGACAAACATGCATGGACTCTCTTTCAAAATTTCCATGTCAATGTGACAAAATTCTACTGAAGTTACAGTTGTGTACAGTCAGTACAACAAGTTTTTATTTATCTATTGAAATCTACTGATGTAATAAATTTGTTGAATTTTATTTCACTTTTGATTTTACAGATATCATTATGTAAACAAATTCAGATGATTTAAATAAAAAGTGCCATTGTTTAAAGGATTATTATTAATGAATAAATACAAAATTTGAAATTTTAACCCTACTCTTTGTTTTTTTCTTGTTCAACCAAAATGTCAAATGATATAGGTGCTTCCAAGTCCAGCCGCCTGCGCTTGGGTGGTGGTCTGGTAGGAGATGCCAATGATCCATCAGCTGGCAGGGGATCTGGATATTTGTCAGTTGGCCCATTTTCTCCCATGAAGTGCTGTAATTATGAGAATAAGTGATTATTTGTGTTAACAAAGAATAAATACAAATAACAATAATGGAGGTAGGGCTCTATATGACATAGATCTATAAATGAAACAAAAGATCTGTATAGAGTAACCATTTATCCAGCTGAAAGGGTGATAATGTCATAATATAAAATGGCTTTTTAGTATTTATTGCATGTTTTACAAAATAACCAAATATTATTTTACTAATTTGGTTAAAAGATCAGTCCTCTAACAAATTATATTATTTTCATGGTCACTATTTTTTTGTAACATATAAAGTCTACCACCCATGAAGTTAGCCATTTAATGCATGGTGCATCAACATATGCCTTTTTTACTGAATTGATAATGAATTTTCTGACAAGAGTCAAAGAGAAAATGTATTAGATCTATGAAAATATTAAAAAGTTTGGAACAGTTTGTAATTATTTTTAAGGATGGCCAGTTTTGGTCTCAACATTATTCAAGCATAGACTAGTTCATTTAGCTAGCTAGGCTAGTTCATAAGTTGCTTTGAGCTGTCAAAAAACTGACAACAACATGTATCCACAAAGTGGTACACATCAAACAGAAATCAAAAGCAAGCCTGGCTAAGTAAATCATTTCATGTTTAAATCAGCATTTCGTACAGATTCACTTACCGTTGAACACACGACTTTATTTTTGTTAATCCTGTTGACATTTAACTGTTCATGCGGTCGAGCGCATGCCTTTATCCAACGCAAACACTTCTCAAATTGAGTTTTAGGGTTAGGAAATGTTATGAATCTGACCCAAATCATCTTATCAGGATACCTGCAATCTGCATTGCATGTTCCCCAAGCACATCTACGCACCATTTTGAATAAAACCGCGGTATTTACTTTTGATGTAGCAGTTGCCAAGTGAAAGCTTGTGAGCACAAGATGGCGGGTAGCAACAAGCAACACCGCACTGATAACGGATCACTTTCATTGGTTAAAAATATCCGTCGCGGAACGGTTCAGTGGTTTGAAGTCAACGACCTTAACCACTCGGCGACGGATGCACCTTAATTAGTAGCAACATGGTTCTTGGAATACTATATATCATAACAAGACACAGTTGTAAGACATGGAGAAAGTTGTATCTTTGAGGCATCCCCTTTGCAACGAATACTTGACCATAGTATTTGATTAACAGAGACAATCTATGTAACATTATTATAGAATCAACCATACTAATATAGACACAACATAATTTTACTGTTTATAAAGTTTATTAAAATATTTCATAAGATATGGCTTTATACCATTATACAAATTGTAACTGATAACTTATAAAATAATGTACACTGACATATAATAAGCGGTTGGTAGAATAAGATCAATATTTACCATGCATGCAACATAATTAACTGCGCATGGTGAGAAATAAGGAACAGAAAAACTTATAGTAATGTGAAATTTGTCAATCATTTTCATTTTATTTCATATTTAGTCACCGATCATGAAACTCCCGCTTTGATAATTGTTGGATCATGTGCAATGAAATCGTCATGTGAAACAAAATAGAATATCAAATTGAATATAGTTAAAAAGACAACATGTTTGTATGTCATTTGCTATGATTCGGATTTATAAGACAATTTGAAAGTTTAGATAGTGAGACAGTCAAACCAATGGATGCTTTACTTGTATTGAGTGGTATTTTACTTACTTTAATAACATTACTTGTGTTGTCATGGTGGACAAAATGGTTCAGTAAAAAAAGCTATCCATCTGGCCCATTTGGGTTTCCTAAACTGGGGCACCTGCCTTTATTAGGAGAAAAACCGGAGTTAAAGTATTTGCAGTGGCGGGGAAAGTACGGAGATATTTTCCGTATCCGCTTTGGTAGTTGGGATACGATAATTGTAAATGGATATGGAGCCATTAAAGACGCAGCGGAACGGAAAGACGATGCCTTTTCCGGGAGACCCGAATTCGTTTCACAAATTGCTATCAAAGAAGCATTTGATGGTTTAGAAGCTGTAAGTTTTTGCAACTATTCTCCGACGTATCTTCAAGTCAGGAAACGGACAACAACGGCCGTACGAACATATATCAATAAGTGCGATTATCCTCCGAATGAACTATTTCGGGAAGAAGCTGAAAAATTAACAGAAAAACTATTGAGATATGCATGTGATGAGCCCGTATCTTTAGATTTAGATATTCAGTTGGCTGTAATAGGTACGTTGTATCAGATGCTTTACGGCAGAGGAAAAGAAGATGAAATAAAACCACACTTGAACTTAATCATTGAATCATCGGACACGTTTACAAAATTGGTCGAGTCTGGAAATGTAGTTGATGTTATTCCTTGGTTACGACATGTGAAAAAAATGGAGGTAGACCAATTCAAAAAAGCGATAACAGCAACTTATGGCATCACAAAATCGAAGATTTCTGAACATAGAACTTCATACCAGAATGGCCAAACACGAGATATTTTAGATGCCTTATGTGAGCAATCAAAGGATTTACCTGATGATGATAATAACAGTAACATATCAGCCACACTTTTACAGTTTCAAATCACGGCATTGCAAGGTGCCGGGTTCGGAACAACAAATCGCTTGTTACTGTTCATCATCTTATATCTGACTAAATATCCAGACATACAGGAGCGTGCCCAGAGAGAGATTGGTCAAGAATTAGGAAGCAACAGGAATATTTCTGAAAAAGATCAGGCGAGCCTTCCGTACGTAATGGCAACTATCCTTGAAGTTATGAGAAAAGCATCAATAACTCCATTCGCTCTACCCCATTTTACACTGCATGACACAAAACTGCGAGAGTATGACATCGACAAAGGCACAGTTGTCTTTTTTAACTATCATTCAGTAGCAAACGAAGAGTCATATTGGGGTGATCCGGAAATCTTTAGACCCGAAAGACTTCTTGATGATTCTGGTAAGTTGGACAAGAAGAAAGCCTCGCATATCCTTCTATCCA